CAAAAAAAAATTTTTTTGAATAAGATCTGGTCGGGCGCGGTGGCTCACGCCTGTAATACCAGCATTTTGGGAGGCCGAGGTGGGCGGATCACGAGATCAAGAGATCGAGAGCATCCTCGCCAACATGGTGAAACCCCATGTCTACTAAAAAAATACAAAACTTAGATGGGCATAGTGGCATGCATCCGTAGTCCCAGCTACTTGGGAGGCTGAGGCAGGAGAATTGCTTGAACCCGGGAGACGGAGATTGCAGTGAGCCGAGATCACGCCACTGCACTCCAGCCTGGTGCCTGGCAACAGAGTGAGACTCTGTCTCAAAAAAATAAAAATAAAATAAAATCCTTGGGAGAGTGGAAGATCCTGATATTCCTCAATAAGATACATGGTTAAATTCAACTCAGTTTGATACTAAGAAATGCCTACTTTATACTAACAAATATTTTAGCAAATTTCTTGATCTCTACCACAGTTACTTAACGTAAAAGCAAAATCCCTCAAATGACTGGAGAAGGCCTCTAACTCTCGTTAGCTTGGATACCCTAGGGCCCAGCCATCCTGCATGTGACCATTCCATAAAGCCCCACTCTGCAGGGCCGTTAACTCTGTCCTCTTCTGCTGTCAATCCCTTTCTACTCTCATTAAATGGTAGCAGCCATTATTATGTCAATTTAATTCATGTCTACCCTTGATATTCTTTTTGCACATGATTTTTGGGCCTCAGAACATTTGTGGGGAGCATCGGGGCATGGTGGCTCATGCTTGTAATCTCAGCACTTTGGGAGGCCAAGGCAGGTGAATCACTTGTAGTCAGAAATTTGAGACTAGCGTGGCCAGCATGGTGAAACCCCATCTCTACTAAAAATATAAAAATTAGCCAGGTATGGTGGCGCAGGCCTGTAATCCAGCTAATCGGGAGGCTGAGACATGAGATCGCTTGAACACAGGAGGCAGAGGTTGCAGTGAGCCAAGATCATGCCACTGCACTCCAGCTGGAGCAACAGAGCAAAACCCTGTCTCAAAAAAAATAATAATAAAGAACATTTAGGGGGTGGGTGGGATCGGGAGGACCACCCTGGCATAACTATAAATTAAATGTCCTGGGGGCACCTGGGAGGCTTCACTTTATTCCTAGAACTGGATTGATGTGTTTTCTCGTTTCAAGCCTTACATGAAACTTCAGGCACTTTTCAGAGTTTACACTGAACATGGGGTGTTATGTCTATGCTGGGTAGATAGATAGCCAAATCTGAACATGCTGCCCTTTCCTTGGTGCCTCTTCTTGCCAATTTCATGGACACTAAAATATCAGGGAGCTTGACATAAATTTTGAAAGTTCATTAATCTTTGGAGTAAACAAAGCAAATGTAAGACTTCTAAGAGATTCTGTGATCTTTACATGTTCATGAGCTAGAAAACGTCTGTTTATTGTTTAAGAGTTACTCATTTGCCTGACATTTTTTATTTGGTAATTTCTGTTTTTGTTTTTGTTTTTTTTTTCCACCAGAGCCTACATTCATCAGTACACAAAATTTGGAATCGAAGAAGAGGACTTTTTAGATAGTTTCACGTTGTTAGAGCAGGTTATTGCCAGTTACTGTAACCTCTGATCTGGAACAATGGGAAAAGTACCTTAAGGCATTTTCGGACTAAAATATTTTCAGTACTATTTTCTCTGTAAAGTTTTCAAAGTTCCATTCTGTTAAAGTAACCAGGTAGAATGCTAAGTCTATTCTGTATACGATGCCCACAGAAAGGAAGACAACTTTTTAAGTGGAGAATAGCATGTTTTCAATGAAAACGTCCACTTGGTATTTCATTTGTAAGAAAAAAATGGTGCTTTATTCTTTATTATTTTATTTTTCTTTTTTTACACTCCATTGTATATACTACCATGAAAAATGGTGCTTTATTAAAGAACTTTGGGAAAACACTTCACCGAGATGTTGGGACTCTGGAACTAGCCAAGAAAATAGAATATTCTATTTGTCTACATGTTCCTAAATCTTACCTCTTTACTCCAAAAATAACTCACAAAGCCTGAACCAAACTGTCACAGCATCATTTCAAGCTAAGGAATTATAATTCTGTACTTAACATATTCATGCTTGAAATGAATGCTTTGAGCCACAAGAGGGAGATGTTGTCAAATCCTACAGTGTGACCATGTATTTTGAGTATTCTGTAACGGTAAGAGTTTCTATTCTAACCAGATATTTAAAAATAAATGTGAGGGCAGGGCGCGGTGGCTCACGCCTATAATCCCAGCACTTTGGGAGGCCAAGGCGGGTAGATCACGAGGTCAAGAGATCCAGACCTGGCACGGTGGCTCACGCCTGTAATCCCAGCACTTTGGGAGGCCAAGGCGGGTGGATCACAAGCTCAAGAGATCGAGACCATCCTGGTCAACATGGTGAAACCCCGTCTCTACTAAAAATACAAAAATTAGCTGGGCATGGTGGCGTGCGACTGTAGTCCTAGCTACTCAGGAGGCTGAGGTAGGAGAATTGCTTGAACTCAGGAGGTGGAGGTTGCAGTGAGTCGAGATCGTGCCATTGTTGCACTCCAGCCTGGGTAACGAGCGAAACTCCATCTCAAAATAAATAAAATAAAAAATAAATGTGAGGATTTTGGTAATAAATGCTTATGCTAAGTACAAAAGTAAATATGTAAATGGGTACTTAGTGTGCTTTTCTTAAACTTTTTGGGCATGAAAAAATTGGGTCAGATTTTGTTTTGGATCTTGCAATGCCAGAGCAGAAATTGGTTTTACTCAACTGTTGCTTTAAAATTACTTATAATGGCCTGGGCACAGTGGCTTACACCTGTAATCCCACCACTTTGGGAGAGCAAGGTGGGAGGACCACTTGAGGCCAGGAATTTGAGTCCAGCCTGGGTAACATAGTAAGACCCCCATCTCAACAAGTTTTCTTAATTAGCTGTCTGTGGTGGCATACACTTGTGGTCCGAGCTACTCTGGA